TTTGAGCTTCCCTTGGATGAGTTAATCTAAAAAGATTACTAAATTTCAGTAAATTTCCAAGCTTTGAAAGAAAAAAATAAAAACATAAGATAAACAAAAGCACAAAAATAAATCTTTAGTTGCACAAACAAAAGCACAAAATCGCTATCAGAAAAAAATTTAAAAGAGGCTGAGAGAAGGTGAGCACCTCTTCAAGGAAAGAGATAAAGTAGAGGATTTTTATAAAACTTTTATTTTTATAAATTTTCTCAAGTTAAATTTTTTATTTTTATTTAATTTTTGTGTTAATCTTGAAAATAAAAATTTAAAATTTTTCTTTAATTTAAAATTATTTATTAATTAGAATGTCATCTTCTGAGTATGTACATCGCCCTAGACCAGCTGGAATTGCTGGAGAAATATTTGGAAAGGTCTTAGAGAAAATATTCATAATTAAAATAAATAGAATCCCTCAAAATTAGAAAAAATCTTAAACAAGAAGTAGGAAATTGGACGGGAAATTGGAAGGATAAAATCCTAACATAAATACAATATAATAATAGCTCAGGGATCCGAGGGTGGGTAAATTTAATTTAGAGAAAGTAATTAATCTACATAGAAAATCTATGTAGATTATCGGTGAGCCGGATAGAGAAAAAAGTCGGGTTTCGGGTCGGGTTTTGGGAAACATCTCGGGTCGAGTATCGGTATCGGGTGACCCGTCCCATTCCAAATGTAAATCGTTTAACCCCAGATTAAGTGCTTAAATTGAGTTGGGTGAATCACCTTTATAATTAAAATCAAACCAAAACAAATTATAATTCTAGCAACAATCAAAATATAACGAATTGGAAGGTAATCATTTGCTGGAATGGATTAAAGAACTGGTAAAGGATGATGCCGTAAATACAGACGGATCAAGACAAAACTTTCATACCCAATTGAAGGATGGGCAATTGTTGTGCAGGTAAATGGTAAATATAATTAGGGGGTATAAATTGAGGGGTATACCTTGAGTCATACATAGATATGACAGTTGAATTGAAATGTTATTATAAACATATGCCTTCCTTGATTTTCATTCCAGATGATTTTGTGTTCTCGATGAAACAAAAAACCTCAGTAACGAGGGGGACCCCCCCCCCCCCAAATATTTAGGAATAAAATTCAAATCCTAAATAAAATGAATCCACTATTAGATCACTGTAGAATTCTCCCTAACGGGTCGGATCATTTTATACTCTTTTTTAGACTTTTGAATGCTGTCGAACCTGCAACTGTCAAAAAAGTTATGAAACCGATCTCAAACTTCAAGTAGAGAATTTTTTAGTTCCAAAAATAAATATTATTTTCAAATTAGTTGTATGGAAAATATCAACCAATTCGTTACTGGCGCTCGCAAGCTTGGTGTAATTGATGAAGAAACATTTCAATCTGTTGATCTTTTAGAAGGACGAGATTTATTTTCTGTTTGTGTAACTTTACAGGCACTCGCAAGAAAAGTAAGTCTAAATAGTTGGCCCCCGACCCTGCCCGCCCGATGATTTTTAGGCCATTCCCTAGCCTGATCCCCAACGAGATCCACGGCATTTTCGAGCACAGATTCCCCGACATCTTCCTCAAAGAAGTTCTTCTCCCTGACGGGTCGGAGACAAACTCTATTCCAAGACGATTTTTTTAAAAAAATATTTAATTTTAACTCAATCTAGCTTGAAAAGTCGCATGGAATTGCACCACCGAAGCAAGTGCCAAAGAATAAAATTTGAGAGATTAAGACGGGATATATAAAACATAATTTCTTAAAAATTCAACAAGGAGTTAGCATGATAAATTTAATTGGACAATAATTCTTAAAAATGTAAAGCATAAAATGTTGATTTTTAAAAAGGATTGAATCAGTTAATATATAGAAATGAAAGTTATCATTAGCCATCAAAATTACTACCATACCCAGTGCTGTGTATAGCTCTGGGAGTTAGCTCCGGAGCCCAGCTCCGGAGCTAAAATTTTGAAAACCCTTGATGTGAGCCGGAGCCAACATAAATATGCCCAAAACACAGCAAAGGTCATACCTTATTATAAATTACCCTCAAACTAGAACACCTACTATATTTAAAATACTTTATAAAATTTAGTAAACCACTGGGTCGGGAAACTGTAAGTAGTATCCCATCTTAAGATAAACCTCCCTTATAAGGAACAAATTTTTTTAATCCCTAAGTAAATATCTAAAGATTGAAATGAGTTGCAAATTTCCCACTCACCTCAGAAAAATTTTAAAAATAATTTTAAAAAATTAATTCAAAAATTATTCCAAAAAAAATTTTTATAAGAGAAATTAAATTTAAAAAAACATACATTTTTGTCCAAAAAATAATCATCATAATCAAATTCTTCTCTAAAATCCAATTATTTAACTATAAAATGAATGCCGATAATTCTTCGAATCATTTAATAAAGCATAATGTGGATATTGAGTAGAACCCGTAGACGTATTATTTCCAATTGGATAAACATTTGGTGTAGCTACCGAATGGTTATATTGTTGTTGTCGAAGTAATTCACAAAGTTTTTCTTCTTTAATTTTCCTAGAAAAATTGATAAAATTAAGAAAATGAAATTTTGAAGAATAGGCACCACAGGGGGAACAGAATGGAATTTCTGTGAAGAGAATGGAGACCAGGATCTTTCCAACCCGAAACCCGATCTTAAAAAAATTTTTTTAAACGTGACCTGACTTAATTGTCAACACGTCCCACCCGTTTCTACGAACATTTTGATGAAATAACTTTAAAAATATCCGCAAAAAATTATCCTTTCCCCTAAAAAACGACGCTTCCCCGGTGACGAATAAAATAAAAATAAAACCTTAAATGAACAGTAGCACGTTTTTCACAAAATTGCTTAACAAACTCATCAATGTCCAAATCTCCCTTGTGAAAGTCTTCTGATATCTTCTGAAAATAAATTTTTTTAATTAGTAAAAAACTAATAAGTCTAAATTTATTCTCAAAATTTTAAGAATATTTTGAAATTTTCCAAAAATTTCCACCTCAAAAAAACTAATGAATCTTAAAAACCAAAAATATTTATTTTTAACAGTAAGCCCAAAAAATAACCTCGCTCTCTTTTTCTGCTTCGTGTGCGAGAGCCTTCAAAGTAGAACAAATAGAATCAAGTGAACGAGAATTGCTTAACTGAAAAAAAATTAATTAAAATCAAAATACAATTTTTAAAAATTAAGGTTGTCGTTTAGAGAGCTCTATTCAAACCTAAAGCCAGATAAATTTTTAAAATAGTATCCAATCGAAATCAAAGTAGAGACCGGCGCGGGACGAGATCCCGAAATCCCGGATTTTTTTGATTTTCGGGGTCTTTTGGGTTCGGGGATTTTTAGGGATTTATCCCTCGGGATCCCGTCCCGTGATCAGTTAAGAAAAAAATCCCGACTCGGGATCCCGGAATTTCTATTTTGGCTGTCTCTAGTCCGAAGTCTGATTCATTTTTAAACCTTAATTGAATTGACCCGTTAAGAGCTCCTGAGGGATGGACCAAAACCAAATTTAAATTTATACCTTGTCAAGCTTCTCCTTCATTTCTTCCACACTTTTCTTCTTCTCAACAGCATCAATATGAGTTTTTTGTAAATTTTGTAGAGCAGTTTTTAATTTTTGTTCCATAGACAAATTATATTCTGCCAAAGATTTTGACTGAACAAATTTCATTTCTTTGTCATTTGAGATTGAATTAATCTTAAAAATTAAAAAAACATTTTAATATTGATTTTGGCTGTCAAGGTTGGAATAAACTTTTTAGAAAGAATAAAAATATGAAACCATTCAAACCTAAACAACCATATCAATTAAATAAAGCACGGGACTCCACCTCACGGGTTCATCCCAAAACCTAAAAATCGGAGAAAAAGACCACAAAAGTGGTCAAAAAAAAGACCGCAAAGCCTTGCCTTTCTAAAATAAATATAAAATTCATGGCAATTTGTCAAAAAATTAGGTGTGTGACCGTGCTAAAACCAATGACACCCTCTAACACAAAATGAAAGACAACAGTTTGTCATATAACCACGGAAATATCTATAATTAAAAAAAGAAAAAACAAACCTGTGAAAGATTGTCGATAAACGAATTTAATTTACTTTCATCATTTAAAAGAACACCAAGTTGATCTTCAGTATAATTTCTGATTGAAGTAACCAGCGTTTGAGTACAAGATTCAAGCAATCCTGGAAGATCACGGGAACTCATTTTTTTAACTTTTCAAAAAATTTCTGAAATAAAAATTTTTTAAACACAAAATTAGAAAAATATAATTGAAACTTTCACAAAATTTAAAAAAAAAGATTAAAAAATTAATTTTTAATTTTATCCACCAAAATTAAAAAATGAATTTAAAACAACGTAAAATCTCTAATAAAATGCCCGGGCATTCCATTTTCCCAATAACCTTCAAAAAAAGAATTTTATTAAGAAGGGGGCAATTAAATGGAGTAGGGCATTAAATTAGAGATTTTAAGGAAAAAATAATTTTCTTTAGTTTATTAGAGTCTTTTAAAATATTTTTTTGGCTTTTTGTATTTTCAAGGGGAACCAAAAAATGTCCGGTCAAGTAGAATTAAAGATTGGCACGGGACAATCCCTAGACGTGATTTTACGGGATCCCGTCCCGTAATCCTAAATTTTGAGCTAAAAAAGGGATTAGCGGGATTACCGGGATTAATCCCGCGACGGGATTTCCGGGATTTACAGGATTAATCCCGCGACGGGATTACCGAGATTTACGGGATTAATCCCCGCGGACGAGAGTACAAGATTAATCACGCGGGATCCCGGCACGTATAAAATGTTGAAAAAAAATCCCGTTACGGGGGATCCCAAGAATGCGATTTTGCCGGTCTCTAATTAGAATAAATTGAACAATAAAAATAATTTTTGCAAATGTAACCGGTTTCGTACCACTAATTTAGTTTACCCAATTTGTAAGTCAATAATTGTGTTCTATTTAACCTAATTTACTACATCAATTTCATCTTCAGATGGCCTAATATTTTGTTCGGCAATTTCTCGTTCTTTTAAAACAGTTGGGGTACTATGTAATTCGAGAAAGTTTATTGCACCACCATATCTTTCACTGAAAAAATTATTTTTAGACTAACAATGTTTTTTTAAAAATACGGAAAACTACAACTTGAGACCGTGAAAATCTCAAAAAAATCTTGGCCCTTGAAGTAGTAAATTAATTGCCTTTAGCCTGGGGAACGTCTGGACTAGAGCTCGAACCCGGGTCGGGCCGGAAAAAGCCTTTTTTAGCCCGGAAACCGGGTGTTTTGATAAAAATCGTATTTTTGGTTTTATGGGTTTTCTAGGTTTTAGCCTGGAAACCCCGGCCAGGGTCAACTTGGAAGAAAAAAACCCCCCGTCAAATTGAAAAGTTCAAGTTCTAGTCTGAACTATAGTAAAAAAAAATCAGGTCCTATATAAAATAAAGTGCCTGAACATAAGGCCTTAATACAAGAAAAATCCAGACCCTTACTCAAGGCTCATAAATGTCTCAAAAATAACCGACCCAAGAAAAAGAAAATTTTCAGGAGGTCAAAAAAATTTTTTAATTTAAAAAAATATTTTACAAAAAAAAACTAACCTCCACTCAATAGATTTATTAAAAGAATCAGAAACAGCAGGATAACGTTTTTCCAATAAATCATCCAAATCTGGAAGTGTGTAGTCTTTTGAAGAAATTCCCAATTTTGTAAAAACTGGGCCTAAAAAATTATTAAAAATTCAAAACCACAAAAAATTTACCTATACTAGCATGTAATTTCTTGCAAATTTCTCTAGGAAAAGCAAATGCTGGGGAGACATAATTAGGGCAATCAATTTTGTCAAAACAGCGTTGGACAAAATAAAAAGATGTGAGGTCGATAACCTAGGAAAAAATTTTGAAAAAAAATTTTTGAAAAATTTTTTAAAGAATTTTTTTATTTTAATGAGAGGGCCTACCAAAAATCCAAAAAAAATATTTTAAAAATCAATTTAAAATCTTTCTTACCCAATAAACATTTTGATTTCGATGTTCTCTTCCACGGCTCATACAATATTTTGAATGATTAAGCTAACAAAAAAATTACATTTTTAAAAGCAAAATTATTAAATTTTCCTAACCTGGTATTGAAGATTGTAATGACGTTCGGGTGGTTCTGTAGGATTATTTTTTGAAGATGGATCACCTTTAAAAAATAAATTATTAAATGAAACTCCAAGGCGAAATTCTAACTATGTTGGTTTACTTGAGAAATCTAACTGATTCTCATGCTCACAAGGAAGAGCAGGGTCGATAACCTATTGCGCCCATTCTTTTGCTTTTCTGGCCCTGATCCCAAAATTAAAAAGTTATAGGGTTTCAAAGAGTTTAAATTTTGGAGCTGGGTACCCTTACATTTTTCATATTAAAGAGGAAAATGGGACTTCTTTTCACAGATAATAGAACTCCGAGTTAAGGGTTAAACCTTATTTCCAAAAAATCGACCCAGAACCCGATGCTTACCCGCAGCTTAAAAGTAAACTAACCCACAGCCCTTATCTTAGAATATCAATCTCGGAATAATTTTTAAAAAATTTTCTCTAAATTTTTAAGCAAAACCCCAAAAGAATAAAAAAATTTTATTTTACGATTATTCTCGTCTTTAGAATTGTCAACATAAACACAAATAACACGCCACATTCGAATTTCAGCTCTTGAATTAAATCGTCGAAAAACTCGAAGCATATAAGCATCTATAAAAGGAAATGGAGAAGGAACATTATCACGACCACCAGTTAATTCAACAACTTTTGAATAAAATTTATCAGAAGATGATGGAGGATTACTAAAAAAATAAAATTTTGAGTTAATTATTATTTAGTAAAGATCGAATTTGGCCAAAGCCTTGGGTTTTTCCGTACCTAGACTCGAGTATTTTTTTAGAATTTCCTAGTTTTTGGGGTATTGATAGATTTTTCTTGATTTTTCTTGTATCTAGGCCTAGGTATGTCTTGGGAGTTCCTAGGGTTTTTGGGCTTGGATTTCGTCTGAACTCCGGCTCATTGTCAGATCAGTAGATTCGAAAATTAGTCGATGCCCAGACAGATTTAATAAAAATTTCACTTATTTAATTTTATTTTGGGAAAAAAATTGTGTGCTCGGGATGGTTGGTCCCTTACGAATAAGGTTGCCGTTTTCGAACCGGCAACCTTATTCGCCGGTGGTTGAGTCATTTTTTCGGACTTCGTTTTTATCGAACCGGGCCGTTGTCTTTTTCGGGCCAAAATCCTATGCCCAATTCGATCTATCGCACCGACCCGGCAACCTTACTTAAGAACAAAAAAATTCTTAAAACATTTAAAAAACCTGTGTGTAAGCAATCTATGAGCAACTCTGGGGATAGCAAAACTAGTAGATGGTTGTTGCACATTTTGCTCATTTTCCTCTTCTTCCACCCTCGCCACATCCAAATTTTCAACATTTATAAAAGGCTCAATTGCTCCCTCCTTTCCCATAGAATGTCTTCTTCTTAACGCCTCAACTGTCGCATTTAGTGCGCAAACGGCTGGTAATGAGCTTAAATTGACCAATTCGAGTTTGTCATAGCCAAATGGGATTACAAGCGAGTCAAGAAAAATTTTGGCATTTTTAGGCGATTGTTGGCCATTTTCTGGTAAATCAGCCAATAATTTAAAAAATTAAAAAAAAACCTTCATAAAATCGACAATAATCAGCTAATCGTAAAATTGCATCCTTCCCACATTTGCTGGATTGGAAAATTCGAAAATTGCGGTTCTTTGTATAAACACAAATGTCACATAGAAAAATTGGGCTGTCTTTTGGGCCGTTGAGAATACAACAATTTGATTTTAATAAATTACTGAAAATGAAAATTTTATGAAAATTTAAAAAAAATTTTGAGGAAAAAATTAAAAATAAAGCTAATTTTACAAATGACCAATCGAGGAAAAATTTTTATAACTTTCGTCCATCATAATTATTGAGAGTCTGGACACAAAACGCCTTAGCCAGAATTTTTTAGTGTCCCAAACCTAGTATTTTTTAATAAAATCAGGCTTTCCAAGGTTTCAGTGTTTTAACTAGACATACCAGCCCTCGAAGGAGGCTGGTATGTCGGGGAACAAGGTTTGCCGATGAAGGCATTTCGGGGTCGGGTTGCTAACAGTTTTAATTAGACTGTTAGCAACTGGTCAGATTAGACAAAAAACTGAAGAAAAACATAAATCTAAAAATCCAAACACTAATATTCAAATAAAAAACAAACCTGCAAATAAACATAACAATAGTTTTCAAGGCCACATTATTCGGAAAAAGTTTTTCATTTTCTCCTTCCTTAACATGCACAATAACATGGGCACTGAATTTTGAAGTACTTGAAGAGTCCAAAATGAGAAAATTTTTGACTGGGTCCAAGTCAATATTTAAAAGTGAATGTAATGAACGGCAAACGATTTTGCAAAATTCTTCAGTCAATTTAGGCCCACAAGCTTCTTTATTAACATCATAAGGAAATTCAAGGTCAAAATATAGTCGACAAGGGTAGTCTTCCAAAACAAGTTCGTAAAAATGACGCATTTCGGGAGCACATTCACGATACCAAAGATAAAAGTCGCGAAGTTCTGTTGCGATAAATTTGCGACAACCTAGAAAATTAATTTTAAAAAATTTGAGTGGGTAATAGAGATCGAGCTGAGTCTTCTGGATCGAGCTGGGTCTCGTTGGTTTTCCTGTGCGAGTCCAGGCCCACGCATTTTTTGATTCCTTGATTTTTTCCTGAGCCTGGGTTTTTCATGGAAAGGCACAGGATCCGGCCCAGGCCAATAAGTCAAACCCAGAGTCCAGAATCCGGCCCAGGCTCTTAAAAAATCTCGATCTAGTGAGTAATATTGTCGCTTGTCTTCTCCTTTTCTTAAGTTTTATTAATAATTTAATGCACGACAGCAAAACTAAGGAAATTTTTGGGAGATGGAAAGGAAGACAAACAACAATTTAAGCTATAAACAATTAGTAGTAGGGGGTGTTCACGAACGCCCAAATTTTCGCTTGCGGCGGGTCAAATTTTTTGAAATTTTCAGTTTGGGTTTCCGCAAGCAAAAATTAACTGATGGAAACAGCTCTACTGACAATGAATTATGAAAAAAAAATTTTAAACGAAACCTGGCTTAAAAAGAATATCCTCAAAAGAAAATACACGCGCATTTGGAGACTTTTTCAACTTCATTTTATTTATAGCTTCATGTTGACGAGCTTCAATCGGAAATTTTTTAAGTAATGGACCGACAACACTCATTCTCTGAAAAATAAAATAAATAAAATTTCTGAAAAAAATTAAGGGGCTAACCCAAAAAATTTCGAAAAACTCTAAAAATAAAAAAATGTTAAATTTGAATTAGGCACAAATTTATTAATTTGGCGTTATGTTTAATTTAGGGCTATTGGGTAGGGGACCTTTCAGAGTAGCCGTTTCAGAGTAGCCGATTCAGAGTAGCCGTTTCAGAGTGGCCGTTTCAGAGTAGGGACTATTCAGAGTAGGCCGTTTCAGAGTAGCCGGTTCAGAGTACGGCTAAAAGGGGACGTTTCAGAGTACATAAATTTTTGGATTTGGAAAATCTTTTTCTTGCAAATTTTTTCTTTTTTCCTACTTTTTTCGTCCTAAATAAGATTTTACAAGGTATCCGAGTTTAGACTCCAGGCTTTTCTCGAGTTTTTCGGTCTTGGGGTGATGTCTTGGTTGCGGGTTTTTTCTTGAGGGAACAAAATTTTAATCATCTTCATTTCGTATGATCTTGAAACACCAAAAGCTTGAAATACCAAACCCCCAAAAACCCTCGAAATACCAAACCGTGGAAGAAGCTTGAATTACCAAATAAATACCAAAACGAGACAAAAAATCGGTCGAAATTTTAGAATTTAAGAATTAAAAAAAATTAAAGAAATTTCAAAAAGACAAAAAACTAAAAAAAACTCGTAATATGGAGCAGATCCTCGATGCTTGATGTTTTTAAGAAAATTGGAAAAAAAATTTTGAAATTAAAAAAATTTTAAAGATTTCAAATTTTTATTAAAAAATTTTTCTCGTTGACTAATTGTTGTTGTTTGTGCCAAATGTTGTGGTCCTGGTCCCTAGAACAACATAAAAGTAAAAAAAAACAAAAAAATAAACAAATTTTTTTCTGAAAATTCGATTTTAAGGGTAATTTATTCTACGTACTCTGAAACGTCCCCCTTTAGCCGTACTCTGAACCGGCTACTCTGAATCGGCTACTCTGAAACGGCCAACTCTGAAACGTCCTACTCTGAAACGGCTACTCTGAATCGGCTACTCTGAAACGGCTACTCTGAAAGGGGCTTTACCGAGGGCTATTAGAGTATTATCATTTAGTTAAAAATTTATTTTCATCAATTCCTTATCAATTCTCTTGGTTGTTTTTGCTTGATTACATATTAGCCTGTAGATTACGCATTTCTAAAAACTTTTGCGTGACAGGATTTTTCGGGATAGATTTCTGCGCAAAGTCCCGCAAATAAAAAATTGCGGGATTATGACTAGAGCCCGACAAAAGCGAACTTCCATGATCCCGTGTCGTGATTTTTTTTTCTTAACCGATGCCGTGACGAGATCCCGAGGGATAAATCCCGAAAAAATCCCGGATCCCGAAAGATCCTGAAGCTCAAAAAGATCCTGGATTTTGGGATCGAGATCTCGGAAAATACCGTCGGGATCCCGCCGGTCTCTAATTGTGACGCGTTATCCCGCCACAAAATCCTGCGCGGGATCGTGTCCCGTTCCGCGCCAATCTCTAAATTTTTAGTTAAGTTATTGTCCGGTACACAGTCTTTTCTTTCTCGTTATTTATTCACCGATGTTCGTTTAACTTTTTTTAGATCCTTATCTTTTTTAGTGCATTTTTAAAAATGGTAGCTCGTGCTAAATCGGGTTCTCCGCCTATTAAAATTATGAAAAAGAGCGAAATTCAATCTTCAAGTAATTTTGTGGAAGAAACTGCCTTTGGAGAGAATTTACAAATTGGTTGTTTTGATGATACTTTCAAGTTTATTTTTAATTAAATAACCTTAAATTGTCTTTCTTTTAAGGAAATTCTTTGCTTATTCTGGAAATGATGTTATTTCTTTTAATGTTGATAGCGGTGAAAGAATACGAGTTTACAGGCATAAAGGTTCTGTGGTTATTGGCGTCTACTTTCAGGATAACTTGGTATATATTTTTTATTAAACCTAAGTTCATCGTGATTGGGGGAGTTTAGACATAGTCATGACTAGTTGTTCAACTCCTTCCAATGGTATTTTTTAGCTCCGACGGCAGTTAAGCTGAGACTCGTTCGACTTATCTCGCTTCTCTCAGCGGATACCATCAGCGGATATCATGTCTCTCAGCGGATACATGTAGTAGGAGGCGTGAACCAAGTTTAAAATGACTGCGTCTAAACTTGTTCGTTCACTCTAATTTCGGTGTCGTTCGACATGAGCTCTTTCGAATAAGCTATCGTTTTATATCCGAATTTTATACCCCAAATGAAATTAGCCATTTTCGATTTTTAGTGTGTTTAGATTGTACGGAACCATAAGATTTGATTTTGTTAAAAAATTTTAAGTTATTATCTTTCACTAACTCACCACAATATTTTCTTTGGAATGTGGATAATGGGGATCAAATAGCTTCAATTAACGTCCAACTTCCTTCTGATCAATTAGCGCTTTGGACGTATAATTTTGATGGAAAATATTTTATTCTTGCTCAAAGTATCGAAAATAAGAAAAAATCACAAGTGAAATCAACGAAGAGCTCTGTCAATGAAAACCAAGGTTTCTTTGAATTTACAAGGAGAGGCTGCGAGGTGTCCGACCTAAAAACGGTCGAGACCGGGCTCATTCGATAGAGAATGTGCCCCTTCTAGCAAGGATTTTGAGCCTTTTTTGCCCGTTTTTTGATCTGGCCAAGATAAGGCCCTTCAAAGTCCCAAAATTTGGCATAATTATTTAAAGTTTATATTTGGAGGGGGAAATTTTTACCAAATTTGGGGACTTTGAAGTGTCATAGACGGGCAGAAACGGCTCAAAATCCTTGCTAGAAAGGGCACATTATTTATCGAATGAGCCCTGTCTTGACCGTTTTTAGGTTGGACACCTCGCAACCTCTCCTTGTTAGTAAATAAAACTCCACAATAATCAATTTTTAGAATCTTCCCTTTTCGAAATTCTTCAACTCAATACAACTCAAAATTCTTCTCAAAAATCGAAAGTTTCAACTCGGCTGGTTGCTCAACTAGAAAACACTCCTTCTTCAAAAGCTCATTTAGCAATTTTTTCTGGATTTTTTGTTAAATGTGAAAAAAGAATTGTAAAAATTTGTGCTTTCGGTGATGATGATGAGGAAGAAAATGAAGATGAAAATTTGGCAAATGGTACTAATGAAGATGAAGAAATGGAGGAGGATGTTAAAGGAGGTTCAAATTCGGCTGTGAAATTGCCGTATGTTTTTTTTATTTTTTGGTTAGGGGTTTTGACCATTTTTGAGACTTCCATTTTTAATGTTATGTTTTAGTAAAGACTGAACTAATATTAAGCACGATTTTCAACAAAAGTCTCGGGTATTTTTCGAGAATCGGCATTTTCCTATTTACTAGATCGATTCTCTTACAGCTATTCCAATCCTTTATACCAATAGCCTTTAAATTTTGATACTTTTTGACAGTTGATTCCCTCTTTACCTTATTATGACATTTTTAAGTATCTATTTTCTTTTTTGACAAAAATTTCCAAAAACGTATCCAAAGGGATCTCTGCCTTCCAAAAATTTAAAAATTTCTGCTTTGATGCTCCCTTGTCAATTTCCTCGCCCAATAATATTTTTTTATTTTTATAAGTTTAAAATTAAGTAAACGTCGTGAGTACCATATTGATGCTAAATTCGATGTTGTTGATCAAAACCTTGTTGAATTTAAAGAAGTTGTAATTGCTGGAAATTCGTTGTATGCTGTGTTGAATATTGGACGTGTTTATTGCTGGTTTTTATTTTTTAATAATTTTTTAAAGCTTTATATTTTTAGGACTGATTTTACAACGAGAGGCTTGTCAACTTTCAATCTTTCTCATTTTACTTTGTCTGGGTATAATTTTTTAATTTTGTTTGGGTGAATTTTTCTAAAGAAGTCCTTAGGTTTTGGGAAATACGTGAATGAACAGAATTTTTTGGATATCCGGGTTTTTTCCTTTTACCAACGGCACGCGGACATATCGTGACGGACATATCGGGATAGTTAAATGTACGAACATTTACCCTGTTGATTTTGGGACCTACGGCCACTGGGTCTTGGATAGTATATTGTCCTGTTGAAGAATAGGGTTTTTATGTTTAGAACAAATGTAAACGCGCAATACTTTATTTTTGCACCTCACCCTATATGTCCGTCCCGATATTCCGCACACCGAACCAACACTTGTATTTCGCGATGTTTTTGAAAATTTTTGTAAAGCAGTCCTAATTCTGCGATCTTTAAGAGTTCATTTCTAGGTATGAACCAACAATTTGCGTTTCGGGTATTGGAACTTCCTTTATTGGATTTGGAAATACACAACTTTACAAATACAATTTAACTGCTTCGAGGTTTAAAATTAAATTTCAATTAATTAATTTTGTATTTTCTAAAATAAATTTTTTAGTGGTGTAGGAAGATGGATTTCACATGAACATTTATTACTTGAATCACCACCGCGTTCATTACTGCTTTGCGGTGATTTTACTAAAATGGCTGTTTTGTTGAGGGATAACACTCTTTGTTTTATAAGTACGTCGCAAATGCAATTAATTTCACGTGCAGAGGTTTGTTTGATTTTTATTGTTTTCAAATCTCTTTGGGAATTTTAAATTTTAGGGACTCCATTTTCATGAAACCTATCCCTTTTTAATTTTTTAGTTTTCATGGGTTTAACAGGCGAGAAAATAGATAAGAAGTGAGGTGAGGTCCAAGGGATTAGGTGAAGCCATGCCCACTCCCTCGAAATTTGCCTTCTGGATACCAAGCGCGTATCCAGGTGGGTTGTTTACTCCATTAAGAAATTAAAATGTGCCAAAACTATCCCATTTTAATTCATTTAGTTTCCATAGGTAGAGCAAGTGAAAATAGGGAAGAAATGACGGGTGTATCCAAGAGATTGTAAGATTTTTTTGGAGGGAGCATGCCCCCACCCTCAAACTCCACCCTCTGGATATGCCATTGAAAATGAAAATGGTCCCATTATGTTCAACCTTTTCGGATTCTCTTTCTTTTTTAAAATTTTTATTTTTCTATAGGTTTTACACGTTTTGTGTCTTCCTGAACTATACAACAATGAAAATTATCGTTTCTCAATTACTAATGATCCGGCATTGGAAAATGAATTATTATTTGTTGCAAATGCGCGGCTTGGTCATATTCAATGGATTGACCCTCTTTGTTGGCAAACTACTTGTATTGTAAGAATTTTTTTGGAATTTTTTTTTGAATTTTTGAATAGTTGGACATTGCTGAAGAAAATGGCCCTCCACCACAAGATACTTTTAATATGCCTAAATTTCAATGGTTAAATACTTATTTGGTTTGTTTAAGTATGCAAATGCTTGTTAGTTGTGAATCTAGTCGAGATAATACTGAAAAGGTTTTCGTTTTAAATTTTATTTTTTTGTTATTTTCTGTTATTTTGCCTTTAACGGGGCTAAAATTGTGTTTAGCTTCTCCAGACATGTCGCCAGGCTGAGGAAGGGAAGAATCCCTCTTTTGAAAAAATATTTTCTTTCTTCCGCTTTTTTGTTAAAGATATGAACCCTCTTAAGAATTTATTAGTATTTTCTGTTATTTTCCCATAACGGGGTTAAAATTGGGTTCCCTTGACGGGGTTAAAAAGACACGTCGCCAGGTTGAGGAAGAATCCCTCTCTTTAAAAAAATTTTTCTTTTCCGATTTTCTGTCAAAAATCTAGAAACCCATGCCATGTTGGTAGTCTGCTCAATGAGACCTATTGAAAAATAAAAACCCGAGGCTTCTATTAGAATATTTACTTTCCAATCCTTCATTTTCCAGACATTAATAAAATTTTGGAGACGATCAAAAAGCAAATCTTTGGCAAATGCTTCTTTTAAATTGGAAAATTGTGTCGAATTACTTGATAAACGTATAAAATTTTTGCGTTCTACATTTGATGAATTTACAAACATTCCTTCGTCATCTAATGCTAATGAAAGGGAATTATCAATAAACAGTGAAGAATTTATATTTGTTTACTCAACTGGATTAATCGACATTTACAAAAGAGATGCTTCAAGAAGGTTTTTGTTATTATTTTTTTTTCAAATGACTTTCAAGGAGATTTTTGGTTGAATTAGGGGTTGTAAAATGACCTTGGTTTCATTAATCATATTCTGTAGGAGTTCTGTTAGGAACTGGGTTCTGAAAATCATATTCTGTTTGGATTAGTCTGATTCTAACAATAAAACCGGAGGTTTATGTAGGAATGGGCGTGGTAGTTAGAAATTTAAAATTTCTAAATTTTTTGGAATTGAGCTTGAAAATGATGAATGTTGGGCGACGGGAAACTGAAACAAATTTTTAAAAATATTTACATATTACGAGAAATTAGTTGAGTGGATATTTGAAATATGGTTGCTAATTGTTTTTTAATTTTTGCATAAGATATGGGGTTTTCAGACCATAAGTGTTTTTAAATTCGAGGATTTTAAAATTTCCCAAATAAAATTATTTTCCAATTTTAGATCATCTCATTGGTCTGTTGATCTAAAAAGGCGTGATTCAAACTGGCAAAGATGTCTAATAACTTCATGTTCTAAAGTTCGCCAACGCTTATTTGCTACAATTCAAATATTGAACGATTCCTCATTTATCGTTTTGAGACAAGTTGATGAAATGAAAATTACTCGAGTGGTTGATAATCTTGTGGATGCAAAACAAGTATATTTTATATAATAATTTGTTTTATTTTTTTAAATTTTGTGGCCTTGATTCAAAATTATTTTTTAAATTTTTACGTGACCCAAGGTTTAGATCCAGACTTGGTAATGGACACGGATCTTGATATTCGGATATCAACGGGGACACAGAGGGTATCCGCAGGCATCGATATTATCTGTATCCGTATCTATTGCCAAGGCTGTTTTAGACTCTGAACCTCATTAAACACACAAATTCCCTATCTGTATAAAAATCAGATTCAGGGTAGGGTCCGGTTTTCGAAGAAGAATTTGATATATCGAACTTTTCACAAGCAGACATTGATTAAAAAATTAGTTCTAGGATAATTCACCTTTTTCTTTTTTGTAAAGGTTGAATGGTCACATTGTCCAAACATTTTAATTGTTTTGTGTGCTTCTGGATTAGTTGCTTTTAATTGCAAAAAAGAAAATCAATTAAACCCTCTTTGGATTATTAAACAACCCAATTTTGTTGGGTTAAGCTCTAGTCGTTCTTTCACATTTACACATAATGGACTAGAAGGTTTTGATTAAATTAAAATTGTTAAAATAAATTTAATTTTAAGTTTATCTTTTAAATCCTGAGGATGGAACAAAAAATAATTTTATGGAAGAAATCCGGTTTAGTCAACCCCAAAAGAGGATAATTGCTTTACAAAAACATTCAAAAGATAAAAGAATATGTAACAACATTTATTTTTGTGGAATTAATGATCAAGTAAATTTTTAATTCATTGATATATTTTATAGACCTAAAATTATACCAATACTTTGGTTGACACACTGACGCCCCTCCCCCTTGGTCATCTTTTAGGTTGGGAGCGGCAATAATAGGGGTCAAGTTTTCTAGAAGATACTTCCAATTAATTTTTTACTCGACCAAGGCTTCCGCTTCTAAAACTACCAACTCCAGAAATTCCCGTTCTATAAAAAATGTCAGGTTGGGAGTCAGACTGATTCTGGTCTTAATACATACTCGGCCATCTTTATTAAGTTTTCTGCCGACCCACTGTCTACAAGTACCCCTTGATCATTTTTTGGGTTGTGGTCTAATTAATAGGGTATGATTTTTTCTGCTTCAAGGGTGTATCTTATACGGAAGTCTGTATATCTGACTCTAATCAAAATTTAATTTTTATTTATTTTTAGGGATCTTTCACACTTATTTCTCCAAAATTGCCTTCAATTGAAGAAAAGAATTCAATTCAAATGGAAGAAGAGAATTGCAATAATATTGTTAACAAAAATTCAAACAAAAAAATAAAGTCAGAAAAGCAAACAGCATTCTCTAGATTAGTTGAAATAGATGAAGAAAAGAAGATTGAAAAGAAGAAGAGGAAAAATAAGAATGAAGAAGAGGAAGAAGAAGAAGAAGATAAATCTTTAAAGAAGCCTCGTTATCTATTAAAACAAGTTTCTATCAAAAAAATTATTGATGGCCCATCATATACTTTACCTTCAATTTCGGTGTTGGCACAGCGTTTTGTTCAAGCATGTTTAGTAAGGAGACGGTCTTAAAAAATTTTTTGATAATTATTGTTATTGTTAGGGATTTTTTGTTAATATCTTTTCAGATTTTTTCAGTTTCTTTGTTTTTCTATGTTTCAGAAAAATGTCTTAAAAAATCCTTTTACATTTTTTAAAGTTGTATTTTTGATTTTTCAGGTTTCAAAATGTTCATCCTTTAGAGGGATTTTGGGAGTTGTTTGAGAGAATTTTTTTACAAATTCTCATTACATACAGATTAGGCATACAAAAATAGGCATACAAAAATAAGCACAAAAAAATAATGAATATTTTTGTTTATTAATGTAGTTTTTATATTCTTCCCCGAGCCGCCTTCACCTCTTGATCATCTTTATGGCGTTGGAGTCATTTTGGAGCCTTTTTAAAAATAAAAAATAGGTATTGGTTATCACTGCAAGACCTCATACCTGTGATTTCTCAAGTTTTGTCCTAGAAGCAGCAGAAGAGAAGAGTTGCGGTGATGACTAAAAAATAATGTTTTTTCAAATTATTAGAAGAATCCGTTTTTACATTAGATTTTTGAAGTCCTTGAGAGGTTGATGATGAAGCTCCTTGAATTGGCAAAAAAATAACTGTAGGCCTTTCACCGATTTTTGTTGGAGCAATGATTAGTGGAGTCATTCCAGCTGGTGGGTTGTCAACCATTTGAATTGTCCTTTCATCAAAAGTATTACGATTTATCACTGTTGTTGGAGTTATTTTTTTAGACGATCGAAATTGAGTGAAAGAGCATCCAAGCTCTAAATTAACTTGCATTACGGCACCTGCATTATCGAACTGAAAATTACTAGGTAGTTTACGGGTTTAATGTTTTTTCGCTAACCTCTCCGCAATAGTTGGGCGCGGAAAATATAGTGATAAGACGTTCAGTTGGGTGTAAAGCATAACCATCCATAGTAACTTCATGTCCTCTTACAACCAAGTCTATATCAACACGTCGACAAAAATCTATCAAAACATCGTTACCAAAAGTAAAACTGATTCCACGCGGACTAGGCCGCCAACCTTTTGTCTTTGGGTCTGGATCAGCCCAAAGCAGATCTGTAGCAAGCGGACCGCTATCTTTGGGATCCTTCCACCCTCGTTTTAACTTCTTCAAATCTCTTAGCAATCCCAAATGTTGTGAAATCCCTCCGTGCATGCATAAAATACGGCCTGTAAAAGAGTTGAAATTATAACAAAAAAAAGTAATTTCTCACCTCCAACTAGTGCAGTAATAGGCATTTGCGCAAAGGCGTTATTAAAGGTGTCCCATAATTTTTCATAACTATTCCCAAACTTTTTAGATATCTCTTTTTTGAATCCATAAACGGCGTTTATAGAGGAAGTTTCGTGGTTTCCTCGTAGTAAATAGAAATTCTTTGGAAATTTGATTTTGTAGCAAAATAAGAGGATAATGGTTTCAATACTTTTGCTTCCACGATCAACGTAGTCTGAAAAATAAAATTTTTTCTGAAAAAGGTCATAGTTTTACCTCCAAGAAACAGATATTTTGTGGAGGGCAGCTGCTTTCCGGGTTGTCCAATCTTATTGAACATTTCGATTAAGTCATTGTATTGACCATGAATATCTCCACATATCGTTATAGGGGGGTTTAACTCCAACATTACAGGCTGCGATGCAAATACCTTCAAGGCTTGATTGATTATTTTATTGATAACGGCAGGATTCACCTAAGAATGAATTATAGTTAAATAAGATTATCATAATCCAAACAAGATAAAAAACCCACCCCGACAATGTCACGTGTACACATAAGATGATTCAAAAGGCCGTCGACGTCCATTGAACTAAGAATAATATAATAACGTTTGCGACACGAATAAATAAAGTGAAGAACGCGAAGAGAGGTGGAGACGTGCGTCAGCGTTAAGCTTTTATAGTATGCGTCCAGTTTGAAATTAGGTATATAAACAAATGTTTTGATGACTTAAAATTTATCTCATTCTACGAGAATTAAAGTTAAGAGGAGTAAGGCGGTAGTGATGGTTCGGCATTAGTTTCCGGTATACCGCATTATTTTTTCTCGGATCCAATTCAATCATTTTTTATATAAATCAACTTGCGTTCGTTATCTCTCTTGATATGAATTATGCTCTTGTTTAAGGATCTGGAAGCTTGTTTAGGGGTCGGGAAACTTGAAATCGCTATAAATAGTTTCGAGCTAATATTATTAATACAGTCGAACCTCTTTAATTTCAGTCGAATCTCTGTTTTTATTACTCCATTTGTGCTAAATAAATCGTACTTAAAAACGAGAGCTATCTTAAATTGAGGGTATCGCTTATGTACCAAACCAATGGACAAACAAATCTTAGAAATTTTATCTAAGACAAGCTGAAATTTGTACCTTATGCTGTCAGGCAGTGTTGGGCAAAGTTCCAGTTCCGAAACTAATTAGTTCTAGTTCCAGAACTAGAACTACGGAACTAACGATTATCTGGAACTAGTTTGGAACTAGAACTATGGAACTAGTAAATGTCTGGAACTAGCTTTGGAACTAGTTCCTGGGGGTATATTTTTGACAAAATTTCTCGACGAAGTTTACGGTATTTTTAATATTGTTGTAATAAATATAAGCTAAAATAAGACTATAATAAAAAATGAGTATAATTAATATTTATTTTCTTGTGTATTTTACTTATAAAATTTGGTGTAATTTTTTTCAAGGCTAGGTCTTGTATTATTTGTGAATATGCCTTTGCCTTAAAAATTGATACTTTGTGAACATTTTTTAAAAATATAAGCAAATCTTTTGTTAACATCGCATTTTCTTAAAAATACCAATAAATTGTGATTGAATTTGGGAACTGATATACTTTGAAAAAAATTATGGATAATTTTACGTTCAATTTTATGGTCAAAATTTTCTCTATAAAAATCAAGTAAAGTAGTATTAAATGGTGATGAACTCAATTTTTACTTTTAATCACCAATCAAGTGCGAGCAACAATCAAGCTGATCGAAATAAAATTTTTTAATAAAATTTTTAATAGAGATAAGGCGTAATTCGATGGTTTAGTATATTTTTGAATTGTTCTATATAATTGGAATGCGGTTTTAGAAGAAAACATTAGGAAGCTTCTTATCGTTTCAGCTTTATGTTGGTGTTTGGATGTTTGGTTAAGCAATTATACATATCATACTGACTTTTCTACAATTTTAAATCAAACACATATAAGCACATCCACCTTCTATTGGCCTCTCTATCATGTTTTAAATCGGAAATTATAAGAAAAAATTGAATGGCAATCTCTAGAAGAATGTCTCCCTTAATTGAATGTTAAGTAAATATAAATACAGAAAATATCCTATAAACAAAGCGGACAAAGATTGCCACCCTAACATGTTTTAAATCAAAAATAATAAAAAAATTTTTTAATACACAAAAAAATATTTTCAATATAAAATATTTTCAATAATTTATAAATTGACAAATTTAATTTTAAATTTAAACTGGTCATTTTCTCATACATGTTTTTTTCTAATTATTAAAAAATGTGCCAGTTGTTTTTTGACTTAGAATTATTGTAAGCTTCAAAAATTTTTTTCAAAAATCCTTTATAATCAAGACTTCTTTCTTCAAGTTAATTTTATTATAGCGGGACTTGAATAGAAATAAGTTGACTTGCAGCATTATTTCAGACAAGCTTATATTTTGTACTTTAGTGGAAAACGGAGTTGCTTCCTAATTTATCTAATATACTTATGACTAATGTTCGGCAAACGGCTTTTTTCGGTATTCGATATACAGAGGATTTGAAGGGGTAATTCCAAGGCTGCCCCCTTTTTTTCTGTTCGCCTGACCAGTTTGAGCATTTTTGCTTGACATATTATTTACAATACATATATCATTCGAAAGAGCTGTTCGAGCTGAGTAGAATGATACTATGATCGGTTCAATTTGGAGATTCTGAACAAAATTATGAAGCTAAATCCTCGATGGACTTGCTTTTTGTGATGTTGTTTGGGATTAAAACAAATGGTCATAACTATGTTTATTTAAGTCGGATTTCGATGATTTAGTACCGTTCGACTCAGCCTGAAGAACTCTTTCGAACGATATATGTCAAATTTTGTGAGGATTAGGTAAGAGTATAATCCATGGTATAACCTTAATCTGGGAAGATGATTCCTGATGATTGATTGAAGGGATATCGGAGGATTAAGGTGGATATGAGGGAATTAATTGTGATCCTTCCAAGAGTCAATCAATATTAATCTGTTTATATTTCAATAGGTTCGGGGTGTAATAACAGCTGTAGATTTTATTAGGAATATTTATATTTGTTGTATTATCAGCTGTTAGTCTGATTATGCCCCTTTATATTGGTATAAGTTGGGGTCGTATTATCTGCTGTTAGTCTGATTATGCCCCTTTATATTGGTATAAGTTGGGGTCGTATTATCAGCTGTTAGTCTGATTATGCCCCTTTATATTGGTATAAGTTGGGGTCGTATTATCTGCTGTTAGTCTGATTATGCCCCTTTATATTGGTATAAGTTGGGGTCGTATTATCAGCTGTTAGTCTGATTATGCCCCTTTATATTGGTATAAGTTGGGGTCGTATTATCAGCTGTTAGTCTGATTATGCCCCTTTATATTGGTATAAGTTGGGGTCGTATTATCAGTTGTTAGTCTGATTATGCCCCTTTATATTGGTATAAGTTGGGGTCGTATTATCAGTTGTTAGTCTGATTATGCCCCTTTATATTGGTATAAGTTGGGGTCGTATTATCAGCTGTTAGTCTGATTATGCCCCTTTATATTGGTATAAGTTGGGGTCGTATTATCAGCTGTTAGTCTGATTATGCCCCTTTATATTGGTATAAGTTGGGGTCGTATTATCAGCTGTTAGTCTGATTATGCCCCTTTATATTGGTATAAGTTGGGGTCGTATTGTCAGCTGTTAGTCTGATTATGCCCCTTTATATTGGTATAAGTTGGGGTCGTATTAACAGCTGTTAGTCTGATTATGCCCCTTTATATTGGTATAAGTTGGGGTCGTATTATCAGCTGTTAGTCTGATTATGCCCCTTTATATTGGTATAAGTTGGGGTCGTATTATCAGCTGTTAGTCTGATTATGCCCCTTTATATTGGTATAAGTTGGGGTCGTATTATCAGCTGTTAGCCTGATTATGCCCCTTTATATTGGTATAAGTTGGGGTCGTATTATCAGCTGTTAGTCTGATTATGCCCCTTTATATTGGTATAAGTTGGGGTCGTATTATCAGCTGTTAGTCTGATTATGCCCCTTTATATTGGTATAAGTTGGGGTCGTATTATCATCTGTTAGTCTGATTATGCCCCTTTATATTGGTATAAGTTGGGGTCGTATTATCAGCTGTTAGTCTGATTATGCCCCTTTATATTGGTATAAGTTGGGGTCGTATTATCAGCTGTTAGTCTGATTATGCCCCTTTATATTTGTATGGGCTCTAATAATGTATGTGCCCTAATCTGTTGTGCATGAAGTTCCCTACAGATCAAAAATGACGGAAGCGTCGGAGTCGCCAATCACAAAAAGACTGGTACCAAGTTACAACCATCAACTTATCCATCAAAGCAGCTAGACAAACTTCATATCCGACGAGTACAAGGGGAGCTTCCAGAATGCATATGATGTTAAGAAATGCTTAAAATATGAGTAGGGCATGATTATGGATGTTTTTACCTTATAACGTGGTATTTTTAAAACCGAGGTGAGAAGGATTTTTGGAAGTAGAAGGGATATTGGGAACATTGCAAAAAAATTTCCCCAAACTATGAAAATTGGGTCTATTTTGAGAGTTTTGTTTTTCAAGTTTAGGTTTTCACTTTCAACATTTAAAGAATTAAAAATTAATTTTTAATTTTTTTTATATTTTAAAAAAATTGATTTTTAATTTTCTCTCCATTATTTTCACCTATTGCCATCCTATGACTTTTTATCACATGCCAAGATTAAGGAGGGGGTCGATATTTTCTTTTAAATGCTTAACACATGGGCTAAGGCATGACTATGGATTTAAAAAAAAATTCAAAATGCCTATCTTCTCCCCCTCACTTCTCGCTCCCTCTAATCCTCCTCCTTCCCCTACAATCCCCCCTCTTCCCCTCAATTATTCTTCTCCTTCTCCCCCTACAATCCCCCCTCATTCCTTCAAATTCCCTTCCCTTCCAATCTCCTCCCTTCAAATTCCCCTCCTTTTTCCCTTCTCACCCCTCCAATCCTCCCTCCCTTTCAACCCCCTCCTCCTCTCCTCCATTCGAATCCTTTTTCCCTTCAATCCTCCCTCCCTTACAATCCCCTCCTCCCAGCTTCTCCCCTCCTTCTTCAAATTTAATTCACCCCGCCCCAAGGTTTATCTTTGAACATTTATATAAATATATTTCAATTTATTAAATTAACTCATTCATTTTAAAAATCCCCAGCTTCATTCCCTCTCCTCGATTTCCTTGTAAAGAAACAAATTAAGGCGTTAAGCAATGCTTTATTATTTAAACTGGCATGTTGCCAAACATTTATTCAAACTTGGGTTGTTTGTGTCAATAATTGCTTTGACATCATCTTCGATCTGTCGTTAGTAAATTTTTGAAAATTAAAGAAAAATTTTTGAAAAATTTTCTTTCAAAAAATACTTTTTTAAAGCACTTGAAAAACTTGATAAAATATACCCTCGAAAGGACCATGGAGACCAAGTCTATTTTGAGTGTTATCATAAAGGCACATCTCTTGACTTTTTCTTGGTTGGCGATATTGGAGGTAACTTTAAATTTTTATCCTTGAAATCCGGGACAGTA